GATGGAGACATTACTGGGCCCACTAGAGCCGCAAATCAATGAACAATGGGAGGACAGTGCTACAGTGCTACATGAAAAAGTCATTGCTGCTTTATACATGATACACATAAATAAAATGTCCATTTTATGAGTTTTAAAAATAAACAAAAAACTTTTAAAATTTAAATTTTTCCTCATCAGTCCATGAAATATTTCTATTTTCACCAATCTGCAGAGTAAACACATTGAAAACACTGGCCTAAATAGTGCTCTTAGATCTTTTTATGCAGACTTAATTTTTATTTCCATTTTAATCATAATAGATACAAGTTTTGTCTTTCACTTTGCCTCTATCAAACACAGGCATGTTTCCAAATCCCCAGTTTCATTATTTTTCACAGTTGCCTATTCCAAAACCAAACAAATCATCTTTTCATGCTTAAACCAATTATAATTTTATTATACATTTAGATTGCTCCATTTTTCCCCTACTAGAAATATTACTTCAACTAGTACCTTCATACCTTTAATTTTCTTCTCAAATTATTTTCTTAGAATTATCTGTTCTGAGATTACTAGGTCAAAGATGACAAACAATTTATGGCTTTGATGCCATCATCAACATGTAAAAAGTTTTAGGAAAAGTCCTCCATGATTATAAATTCAATGAAACCTGGGCTATAATGCATTTGTTTAGATTATAGCCTTCCTAACTCTCACAATAAAATGTCACGTGAATTAAAGTAAATTTCAAGAAAACTGTGATAAAAATTCAGAAAGGTAGTCTGGAAAAGTGTAGTTTAAAACCTCACCCTCTCCCCACCACCATATATATATATATATTTTTTTCTTTTTTTCTGAGGGATGCAGTGAGAACTCAGCATCGCTTCAGTGGTTTTTCCACAAGTGAATAACCTAGATGTAATTACAAGAAAAAAATTTTTTCGAAAAAGATGTAATTACAAGATATAATTTAGATAAACCCAAGTTGATAAAACTTCTCAAATTGTCCTGCGTTTTTCACTAATATCAGTATCACAAAAAACGAACTCAATAATCACTTAAGATTAAACAAAACTACAGAAACATGGCAATATAACACATGACTCTGGATAGTCTTTGCAATACTATTGTTGAGACAACTAAGGAAATCTCAATTATACCTATACATTATAAAACAGCATTATTTCAATGTTATTTTATTGATGGACCACTATATTATTTTAAGACAAGTCTCTATTTTTAGGAGATATACACACAGTTAGAGGTTAAGTGGGTATATATGCAACTTATTCTTAAATATGTGTGGAGAAAGAAAAGGAAAAGAATGAAAGAGATAATAAAATGTAACATTTGGGGTATAGGGTGAACAATATCAGAAATTGTATTTTGTTCTTGCAATCTTTTCGTTGTTCTGAAATTATTAGAATTACCTAAAATTATGGGCTGGAGCGATAGCACAGCGGTAGGGCGTTTGCCTTGCACGCGGCCAACATGACCGACCCGAGTTCAATTCCTCCGCCCCTCTCGGAGAGCCCGGCAAGCTACCGAGAGTATTCGATATGCCAGACACAGTAACAACAAAGTCTCCAATGGAGACGTTACTGGGCCCGCTCGAGCAAATCGATGAACAACGGGAGGACAGTGGACAGTGACCTAAAATTATGTCAAAATTAAATTAAAAACGAAGCTCATAAACTACAATGAACCTTCCAGAACGACCTTTTTTTTTTAAAAGACATTACATATGTAGACAACAGTAATTCTCACACACTGATGGTAGGATTATAAAATGGTATGACCATCCTGGGGATAAATTCTTAGAAGATTAAATACACACCTACCCCATGATCCAGTGAGAGAAATTAAAACATATTTATAAAAATATCTGTACAGGGGCCAGAGAAATAGTACAAGGGGTAAGGCACTTGCTTTCCCATAGACAACCCAGATTCAAGCCCTGGCACTGTCTATGGTCCCTTGAGCCTGCCAGGAGTGATCCTTGAGCAGAACCAGGACGAAGCTCTGAGCACAGCCATGTGTGCCCCACTCCAAAAAAATTATTTGTCCAAAAATGTCCATAGCATTTCATTTACAACAATTTAAACTAGAAGGTACACTCCCTTCTAGGGAATATTACTCAATGTGAAAAAGTAACAACTACTGATTAATACAGTAATATGACTGTAATTCGAAAGTGCTATCAAAGAAGTCTTAATACAAATAGTATGCATTTACAATAGATCTTAATACAAATAGTATGCAAATACTAATACATACTCCACCTGGAGCAAAAAAATATCTATTTTAACAGAAAATCTAGTCTACAATGAAAAAAATCAGAATAGTGGTTGCCTCTGGAGGGTAAAGGTGGGAAGTGTTCAAAAATGAAAGGAAAGATACTTTCTGAATTAACACAATTAACTGTATCTTGATAAAGGTATGGGTCTCACATGTGTATACTTCTGTCAAATCTCTTGTGTTTGAAGTGTATAATTTCAACCAATTTCATGTGTAAATTTTACATCAAAATAAAAAAATGGTAAACCACCAGTTCCAATTTATCAGATGCATGCTGTAGTAAACATGTATTCTTACATGTTAAAAAAAAAAACAGATGAACTGATTGGAGATAGTACAAAGGGAGATAGTACATAGGACTAGCCTTCCATGCAGGTGACCCAGGTTCAGTCCTTGGCACCACATATAGCACCCAGAACCCAGCAAGTAATGATCCCTGAATACAGAGCCATGCGCCGTCCCTGAGCATTACCAAGTGTGGCCCAAAGGCAAATTAAAAAAAGATCAACTGACGAAAGGATTCTAGAGGTGGACTGAAAGATATAGATAATAAGACAAATACAGGGGAATAATAATGAAATCAAGCCAACCTGGAAAAATCAACTTTGCTGTATTTTTTTTTTTTTTTTTTTTTTGCTTTTTGGGTCACACCCTGCAATGCACAGGGGTTACTCCTGGCTCATGCACTCAGGAATCACTTCTGGCGGTGCTCAGAGAGACCATATGGGATGCTGGAAATTGAACCTGGGTCGGCCCCGTGCAAGGTAAACGCCCTACCCACTTTGCTATTGCTCCAGCCCCTGCTGTATTTTTGAAAACTTTCATAATATAATAGTACAGGGAAAAACATTTCAGATGAACTGAGTACTGATTAGTAAATAATATGAAGAATCTCTTGTTCATTCTTAGGTGTGATAAAGGTATTATGGTTAAGTGGGAGAGATTGTTTTAGGGGATGCATTGTAAAATATTCATAAACAACTGCCGTTATTATTCAACTTACTTTGGAAATGTTCTACAAGTGCAAACTTTCAGAAACATGGCTGATTTTTAAAAGAGGATAAGTTATTCACAATCGGTAAATCTGTAAGGTGGTTTAAAAGGTGCTTATTGTTCTTTGAACCTTGAGGTGTTTCATAACAAATCTGTAGTAAAGAAAAACTACCTGGGTCTGTAGTCTCCTGGGGTCACACATCCCATCTGGTTGTACATTAGATGCTAGATGAACACAGGTTGAAGCTGATCTACCTGGTCCCATCGTGTCAAATAGTGAACAGTGAAAGTCCAGTCATTGGCCAACAGTTCTTCCCTAAAATCATTGTCTAAAATGAAGACAAGCTACTTTTAGATCGAGTCTTCAAAGGGAAACACAAAGCCATACTCATATAGGAATAAGCTAGAAGTAGATTATCAATCTCATACTAAGTAGCAAATGCTTCATGACAGAAATCAGTCTCTTCCACTTACAAATGCAATTACTTTTGAAATTCTACTTTCCAAAATAAGGGGACATGCTATTTTAATGACAATCATTGAATGCTTTTCATTCCAAATTTCTAATTTTAAGGGTTTATGCTAAGACATTAGCCCCCAAGAAGAGCTTTGCTATGGCAAATTAGCATTTTCTAGCAGGGTAGTTTTATTGGTAAACTCTAACCAACACTCAGAAAGCAATATTTGGAATACCTCACAATAACTCTGAACAATTCTGTATATAAATACAGGATCAGAGTACCTGATATTTATGCCAATATTTGACATTAACTAAAAATTATTTCTATAAATACTGTCTCCCTTTTATCCCCCTTAAACTGTGAGAGAAACATGAAGGGATTTTAGAAGCTTTTGAGGGTTTCATTCATATCACTCTTTTGAATGCTTCTTTTTAAACACTGAGTTCTCCATGCGCTTGTCAAACACACTTTCATATTATTTACCTATTTCACAGGTATATGTCTCATCTTCCCAGCTAGATAAGGTTCTTTGAGGGTAAGTGCCTTGTCTTGCTCTTCTCTGATATTTCCCACAACACGGTGCTTTGGACAGAGTAGGCAATTGAACTCAACATTTGCTGAACTAAGCTGATTTTCTATAAACTAATTTTAAGTGTACTGGGAAATTTGTTCCTTAAAATTTCCTATTAAGAAGTCCAACTGGGAAGTTCAGTTTCAAAAAAAAAAAATCCTAATTTAGCTTTGGAGTAAACCCAAGGTTTATAAACTAGACTTGCTTAAACAGATACAAGTTTAAGAATATAAAGGCAATTGTTCAAGACTCCTTATTTCTAAAGCTACAGAGACATGACCAAAAATGAAGATGTGAGGAGGCACATGAACGAGGCGAATCCCAACTGGCTCGACATCCCCACAGTCCATGGGCTGGAGCAACCAAATGAAAAAGCCTGCTGGGGGAACCAGAGCATCTGCAAGTTTTATGTGGTCAGTACTTCCCCCGGGATGCCAAAGGCCTAATAATCTATTCTCCACTAGGAAAAATTATAGTGATCCCAAGTTTCAGGATTCTCCAAGTGATACCACACACACACAGACACACAGACACATATACATACAAAGTCCACAAGTGTAGAAACACCCATCTGCAAACTATCCCCCTGCACAAATTCCTGGGACATCATTCTCCTCGCAACCTGTCCCTTTCCCCAGTACTCTAAGGAGCCTTCCAATTCGTTACCCTACATGGCTGGAGCAATCTCCAAAATACCGTTCTCCCCTTCTACTGAGATACCCATACACAGTCGCAATCCTGGACAAACATCTCCTCAAATCTGATCCCTCCCAGAGTCCCAGGATCCCCCCAACACAACCCCTAGACCTACTTCTGGAATGACTCCCTCAATCTGTCCTCCCCCCCGCAATTTGCTCCCAAATTGCTCCCCCTCACTCTGAATCCAGACACCCCAGCCTGTGCTCTCCCACGCTCTCGGAAATAGCCAATGCCTGTTTCTTCACAGGAATCTGGAGGCGTTGCCAGAGTTTCTGGCACCCCCCCAGTTAGTCTTGGCGCTACTACTGCTGGCACATTCTCATACACTGTCCCTCCCCCCTGGGACCTTGGACAGCTCCACAACCTGGTTCTAGGGCCACAGGTATAGGACACCCCCACAACTGGGCGCCTCCCTGGTGGCCCCAGGATACTTCCATCTCCAGACTCTTCTCCTGAAACCCCTTCTATGGAGTGTGTCCTCACTGCTGTGAGGCCCGACTCTTCCACATTTGCGCCTTCTGCAGGCCCAGTCACCCACACTGCAGCAGGCATGCGCCCTGTAATGGGAACTCCTACAGCAGCAAGCACCCCGAAAGTCAGAGGTCCTCTCACAGGGCCCTCAGGAACAGTTACATTGGGCCTCCTTCTCCACGGGTCAGAAACACCATCAGAGCCAGGCTCCTCCTCCGCAGATCCAGGAGCACTGGCAGCAACAGGGACTTCAGTCACCAGTGTCCTTCCCCACACACCTGAGCCATTCACAGAGCCAGTGACTCCCTCCATCAGCCCAGCTTCTGTCGACACCCCTACGTCCCTAGCAACTCCAGCAGCCATAGGTGTCTCCATGGTCTGTCGTCTTCTGGGGAAATCCGCTAGACTCCCAGAGAGCATCTCTGCCCCCGCCAGCCCAGGCACCCCTCTGGCTGTGCGCAGCCCAACAGCCACGGGTACCCCAGCAGTCTGTCTTCCTCCCAATGCATCTGAGATACTACCAAGACCATTCTCCCCTATGGGCCCAGGCACCCCAGCAGGCGGGGGTATCCCCATCCTTGTGGGACACCTGGCATCTGCAGACCCTGCCACTGTCTCTCTCTCGCCCCACATGCTTGAAACACCTCCAGAGTCGGTCTCTGGCACAGGTCTAGGCACTCCATCGGCTGCAAATACCCCTGTAATCAGAGGCACTCCTGCTGTCTGGCTCCTTCCTGGCAAGCCCGAGAAAGCCCCAGAGCCTGTCTCGACCTCCAGAGGAACAGGTCCCCTTGGAGCTTCAGGTACCCCAGCAGTTACAGGAACACTGGCATTCTGTCTTCTCTCCCAAGAACCTGGGGCACCTCCAAAGCCAGTCTGCTCTGTCCTAAGTCCAGGCACTTCAGAAGCCACAGAAATCCTAGCAATCACAGGCACCCCAACTGCCTCTCTCCTTCCCCACGCTCCGGAACCAGTGTTCTCTTCTACAGCCCACAGCTCTTCGGGGGCCACAGCTGCCCCTGACTCCACAGGCATTCTAGCAGTAAGAACCCTTCCCCACGGGTTTGAGACCGCTCCAGAGTTGAGTTCCTGGCACATAGGGCCAGACACCCAAATAGCAGCAGGGACCCTCGCAGGCACCCTGTCAGGCCCAGGGAGCCCCACAGGTATGGGTGCTCCTGCTGAGGCACACCTGTGCTTAGGCACACTGGCCACCTCAGGCACTGCCATGGGCTCAGGCAAACCCAATGCCTGGCTCCTCCTGCAGAGACACGAGGCGTCCCCGCAGCCTGTCTCCTGATCCACAGGCCCAGGAGCCCCTAACGCATGAGGCACCAGCACCTCCTGCTCCTCCAAAGCCTGCCTCTGTTCCCATAGGCTCAGGGCATTCCCACAGCACGGCTTCTCCAGAACGGCCCCAGGCACAGCCTCAGTCACAGGCACCCCCAGAGTCTGCTGCCTGGCCCACAGACCGGGGATGGCATCACAACTCGACTGCTGTCCTCCGACTCCGGGTGCTACCACAGCCTGGGGCATCCCCAGTGGCTGTTCTGTCCTCCACATGCTGGGCACAGTCCCACAGCCTACCTCTTTCCCCAGGGCCTGAGGGGCCCTCATGGTCTGTTCTATGCCCCAGAGGCCGGGAGCACCCGCAGGCCCCGCCTCCTGCTCCTCGGGCCCAGCCATCTGCACAGTCTGCCTGGCTTCCCAGGACCCTGGGTCCCCTCCTGAGCCCGTCTCTACCCACAGAGCCTGTCCCCTATCTCTGAATCCTGGGTCGCCCCCATATCTTGGCTCCTCCTCAACAGCACAAGGTACCCCGACAGGTTGTCCTGTGCCCCACGGAGGCGGGGCGCCCTCGATGCCTTGTTCCTCCCGGGGCTGTCTCCGCAGCCACACGCCGGGGCCCCCCAGCGAGGCAGCCCCACCCTGCGCAGTGTCAGGCAGTCCTGCCGCCTGTCCTCGACCCCAAAGGCCGGGGGCCTCCCCACACGCCGCCTCCTGGACCAGGGTCCCGGAAACCTGCTGTCCTGCCTGCCCTCTCTCCCGCTGACCTGAAACACTCCCGCGGTCCAGCGCTCCTTCCACAGTCGCGGGTACCTCCACGACTCCCTCAGGCCACCCCGGCCCAGGCACGCCCCGAGGGGGTCCTTTCCCCCAAGAACCCGGGGCCACCCCACAGCCGATCTCCTCCACTGCCCGCGGGACCCCCGCGGCCTGTCCCCGGGCCGGCAGCTGCGGGGCGACCCCAGTCCTGGCCTCCAGGGTCCCAGGCGCACCCACGGCGGGCACCCTCCCGGCAGGCTGCAGCCCGCACAGGCCGGACACCCTGGCGCAGAAAGCCCGCAGGGCCACGGTGCTGGGCGGCCGGGGGGTCCCCCGCGCCTGCCCTTTCACCCACGGGCCCGTGACACCCCCGCGGCTCGTCTCGACCCACGAGGCCCTGCCCGGCACGCCCCTGTCGGCCGCGCCCGCCCCCGCAGGCACAGGGTGCAGCTCCACGCGGCTGCCCTGCGCGTGGCCCGCGGCGGCCCTCAAGGCCTGCACTCGGAGCCACAGCGCCAGGACGCCGTCCTGCCCCGCGGGGCCCGGGCGCCCCTTCCTCTCGCCGCCGCCGGGACTCCGCGCGCCCGCGCCCGCCTCCGCCCCCGGCCCGGTCACCCACACCGCGCCCGCGGGCCCCACCACCTGGGGCTGCCCCACGGCCCCGTTGACCCACACGCTCCCCGGCTGCCGCGCCGCCGCCTCCAGCGACGCCCGAGACGCCTCGCGGGGCCCGGCCGCCTCGGCGCTGCCCGCCGCCGGGCTTGGCCCCCACGGCCGCCGACGGCGCGGCGGCCCCTCTGAGCTCTCGCGGCGCGGCGCCCCCGCCGAGGCCCTCGCCCGGCGTCCGGCTCCCCGGCCTCGGGAGGCCCCCGCCCGCGGCCCCTTCCCCCGAGGCCGCCGAACGCCCCGCCCGGGCCGGCTGAGCCCCACCCCGCGGCCCGGCATGTCTGCCGCCAGCGCCCGCCGCCGCCGGGACCGCGACCCCCGGCCGCCGCCCTGCCTCGAAACCGCGAGCTGCCCCCGTCTCCGCCGCGGCCCGGGGCCTCCGCCTCAGCCCTCGGCGGCCATGGCGGCTCCACTCACGCACTCACGCACTCGCGCACTCCGCTGCAGCCCCGCAGCCTGACGCCCTCCCGGCGCCTCGACCCCACCCACCCTCGCCCGGTCCCGGACGTCTGCCCCCCTCGGCCGGGGACCCCCCGCAAAGCACTGGTGGGACGAAGGGTAACGAGGGAGGACGGAGCGGCAAGGTTTTTCCGGGGTCAGGGCTTCCTTCCCCGGAGGTCCAGGTTGCCCGCTGCAATTTCCCAGAATCCCCCCAGTCCCGGCCCGAGCCCACCTGGCCTGGGGCGAGGCGCGGCAGCCGGGAAGCGGGCAGGGAACCCCCCCACCAACTAGGCCTCACTTCCGGCCGCTTGCCCAGTCGCCATGGCAACGGGCGCGGGGCGTTTTGGGAGCCGCAAGGGCTTCGGAGACGCCTCAGGACTTAGAGGCCGCAGGGCGACGTATTTCGCGGTCACGGGACCCGGGGTGGGGACCTGGACCGGATGAGAATAAAATTCTGAGTTTCGGAACTGAAGCACGCATGGAAAGAGCAGAGAAGCGGAGCGGAAAGGAGGGGAGGATGTTATGTCCTTAGGAGGCTGCCGTAGCACCTCCGCCCCACGGGCTCCCAGCCCCGCCCACCCCAGCCCCGCCCACGCCGGCCCCGCCCCGCCCATGGTCCCAGCCACTGCGCCCGGAGGTTCACAGTCCTGCCTTGCTCCGCCACCTGAGCCTTTGCCGATGGCCCCGTACGAAGAAGTGAGAGTGTCGGGCTTCGAGGAGTTCGGCAAGGCTGTGGAGCAGCACAAAGGCAAGACCATTTTCGCCTACTTCACCGGTTCCAAGGACGCCGAAGGGAAAAGCTGGTGCCCCGACTGTGAACAGGGTGAGACCGGGATTCGGGGCTGCTGCTCCGGGATTCGGAGCGGAAGTAGCGAAAGGCTCTAAACTGGCTGGGCTCGGAGGCCAGGATTTCGTTCCTGCACACCCTCGGGGCGAACTGAACTGTCTTCTAGCGTCCCTCACTTTATCTTTTCCATTGTCCAGTTCACTTTATCCTTTCCTCGCCCAAGAGTACGCTTCGTCACTACACAGGTCTGGAATCTAGAATCTTAATTCTTTCCACAACTTTCCGTTTTCCCGTATGTCTTGGTGGAAACGTGACGTTGGTTTCTTTTCTATAAGTCAGCAAATAATTTGTTCCCCTTTAGTTCTTTGCTCGTTGGCGTGGGAACAAATCAGGATTTGGACTTGGTTCTTAGTTTTAAAGTGTCCTCAAATCAGAAAAGATCATCTGATTCCAGTTAACCTTTGTTAACTGCAGGTTTAAAGTCAGTACGGAGATTAAGGGTGTGGAAGAGAAAGACTTTATCAGTACCTAGTTGGAGTTGATAACTTTGTATCTTTTTTACAGCTGACCCAGTGGTGCGCGAAGGGCTGAAGCACATTAAAGAAGGATGTGTGTTCATCTACTGCCAAGTAGGAGAGAGACCTTAGTAAGTGGATATGTATACTCGTTTCCCCGACATGCACTGGACAATGAATACTTTGGTGGGAAAGACCCAGGGGTTACTCAGTCTGCTTTCTACGGTGAAATCTTTACGCCATGCAATCAAACGCTATTAACTACAAGTATTAAATATTGAATATTAAGCCACTTATTTTAGGGGTAATTAGATGAATCTGGCATGGGATTTCTTTGAAACTTGTTTTAATATAAATGTTTACCAAAATACAATGAAAGGCTAAAACTGGAAAAATATCAAATATTAAGCAAACTGTTTGGAATCATGCTTCTCTTGACTACTATTTTTCTTTCAATAGTTGGAAAGATCCTGATAATGACTTTAGAAAAAACCTGAAACTAACTGCAGTACCTACATTGCTTAAACATGGAACAGTAAGTATCCTTAATTGTATCCAGGCTACTTTACACTTACCTCAAAACTCCTTTCACTTGTTTTGAATTTAAATTTAAAAGATCTTGTGTGATCTGCATATCACATTGATGTTTAGAGTGCCTTAAAAACTACAACCTGTCTGTCCATCTATTGCCAATTCCAATAAACTATTAGTAATGCAAAGATATAAAATAGTTTTTCTTACATGCCTTTAAAAGAAGCCATTCTTTTTAAATGGAGGTGTTTATTTATTTTTTATTTTTTTGCTTTTTGGGTCACACCTGGCAATGCACAGGGATTACTCCTGGCTCTGCACTCAGGAATTACCCCTGGCAGTGCTCAGGGGACCATATGGGATGCTGGGAATCGAACCCGGGTCGGTCGCGTGCAAAGCAAACGCCCTACCCGCTGTGCTATCACTCCAGTCCCAAATGGAGGTTTTTAAACCTTTATAAAAAGATTTGGTGGTACTCAGGACTTACTCTTGGCTCTCTATTCAGGGAACCTTCCTGGCAGTGCTAGATAGATCATGAGATACCAGGGATCGAATCAGGATCCACTGCATGCAAGGCATGCACCATACCAACTGTACTATTGCCCCAGCCCCTACAAAGCTATTCTTTTAAAATTACTTAAGAACTGATAAAGCATCAACAGTATCTTGATACTTTCAGGAAAGTATCAAGAAAGTTTTATGGCCAGCACATAAAACATTGGCATCATTGTTTTCTATATAACCCATAATTCTCAGTGAAAAAGGGCACCGCTTCTAGTCATAGTTGAAGGGGTCTAAATTTAAAAAGTTTCAGGCCAATAGTACAGTGGGTGGAGCCAACCTGGGTTTGATCTCCAGCATCCCATATGGTATTCCAAGCACTGCCAGAAGTGATTCCTGAGCATTGCCAGGTGTGGCCCAAAAAACAACGAAAAGTTTAAGTTAAAAAGAATGGCACTGACCTTGCTATTTCCTGTTTTAGTATTTGCAGCCAAGCATTTTCATGATTCATCTTAAGGTGAATATCTTAACTATTTCATAAAACTTGTTACAGCTAGTTGATAGTATCTGAATGTTATTTCTCTGTCCCAAGATTTGAGTCAGTCAAAGCAGAACTGACTCTGCCCCTAATGATATATTGTAGCCATGATTTAAAACTTAACTGGTCTTTTATTACAGGCCCAGAAACTGGTAGAATCTGAGTGTCATCAGGCCACCCTCGTGGAAATGTTGTTCTCCGAAGATGAGTAATTGATGATGGCAATTGTATTGATTTCCTGACTTTCTCTATCAACTTGTACAGTTGTTTCGAATTCATGTTAATGATGTGAAAAATAATGGCAGTATGGCTAAACAGTGCTATTAAAATCCTCACAAATCCTTAATTTACTTGTACTATAAGGATCCTTTTAGATGTAAAATCTTCAGAAATGACAGTGATGGTGCAACGCAATATATTATTGGAGATAAATTCTAAAAGTCTCCTTAGTGCAAAAGACAGCTTCCAAATCTCTGAAAAGGTTACCACTGGCTTGCAAGGCATATGCTCAAGCCCACTGAACTCTCTGACCCCATCGTTTTACAGATTTCTGAACGTGTTTCACCATCAGATGTGTGTGTGTAAAACAAGTTGGAGACTACATAACCTAGTAATTATGAAGAACTGGCCCATGAGTCAATCACACTGACTACCACTTACTAGCTGTACAACTTTAAGCAAGGTACTTAACCTATCGAAACCTCAGTTTCCTTTTTTCTTTTTTTTTCTTTTTGGGTCACATTCAGTGATGCTCAGGGGTTACTCCTAGCTCTGCACTCAGGAATTACTCCTGGTGGTGCTCGGGGGACCATATGGAATCCTGGGGATTGAACCTGGGGTCAGTTGTGTGCAAGGCAAATGCCCTACCCGCTATAGTATCGCTCCGGCCCAGTTTCCTCCTTTATGAACAGAACTATTTTGAAAATGAGAATGCAGCTAAGTAATTAGTATAGTGGGCAGGTTGGAGCATATGCCGAGTGTTAGGTTTCTAGAATGAGCACAGGTATTTATGGCTCCTCTTTTGTTCTAGCCTCAAGTCAAGAGTTACATTAGTAATCACTAATCTCCTCCCTGTCTTCAGTCACTTGATTCACATACCAAAGATGCTTCCTTAAAGCGTTATAAGCAAAGGTCTGTTCTCTCTGGCAATACCTGCTGATTTTAACAGGCCTCTGCTCTTCTCATTCTTTAGTTAAGTGGAGGGAGGGAAGGACAGAGGAAGGGCTGCTGATAGGAGTGAAGAGTAGTAAGATTCTGAGACTGACTTCCCTCAAGTCTCATTTACATCAAGAAGAAAGTTGGGTGTATTTGTTGGCTGTCCCCTTACTCCATCCCTCATAACTCAAATTAATGTAAATCCCCCAACATTAGTGTTTCATTCTGCTAAATACTAATAAAAACAAATCCAAAGGAAAATCAAAGAACATTTCTGATTTAACAGAAATAATTATTAACAATAAAAAGTTCATTGACTTAAACCACACACTAAAGGTTCTAGGTGCTTTCACAGTAAAGTAGATATAGGAAGAGTCTTCTTATCTTCTCTGTACAAAAGTCATATGTACATGTCCTAAGAGCCTGTTCTGAGTCCAGCTTTTCATTTTCCTGATGTGTTTTGCTGTTGTTGCTCTGCCAGGGCTTGCTGAAGGCGCATCCTCTTCCGAGAATAGTGCTGCCAGTGCAGAATTTGCTGCTCATCAATAAATTTCGCACACTGAGCATTCACCAGCTCCTTACGGAAATGTTCATATTGAAGTAGTTCTAACATGTGTAAACACTGAGGGTACCTGGGTTTGAGTTTATAAATTAGTGATAAACATAATTTAGGCCAATAAAAGCCAAGCTCTAATCCAGTTACTTATCAATTATCTTGTAGCCCAACATTTCTCTATTTAATATTATCTTAGTATACTTTAGTTCATTTAATGTCATTTTTCCCCCAGCTTAGGCAGAAAAATCTATCATCAAAAGACAGCATTAGGGAATTTTTCAAAACAAGTTCAAAAGGTGAAATAACTTTCCTGAGACCACACAGTAATTGCTAATTGTCAATGTTTGGTGGCAAATAATGCTATCTATTGGATTCCAAGGAGAGAAATATGAAATCTTTTCAAACTTATGCATTTAATTGATAGCTACTGCTTTCCCGCCAATAATGGTAAAAAGTAAGTCAGGCCAGAGAGTAGAGCGGGGTAAGGTACTTGCTATACCTGAGGCCCACACCAAACATTGCATCTGATCAAGCACAGAGCCAGGAGCAAGCTGATAGCACAGCTATGACCCAAATAACAACAAAAAGTCATTTTTAGTACATATACAGAAATTCTAAAGTTATATGTACTCTTATGTATACTCTATACTGAGTACACATAAGTATACTGTGTGTAAAGATGACCAAATTTTAGGCTATTGGAAAAAACCGAGTCTCAGATAAAGTAGGAAGCTAGAATGAGTCTTAGGTTACTGGGCTATAACTGGAAACTCTGAATGGCTTTTAATTTAAAGAAACAGACAAAGAGATATATCCACACCTACAGTTCCTAAGCTGTGTGTGCTGAGAGTATACAAGCAGTAATACTGGTACCAAAGAACACACTGAGTAACCGAATCAGAGTTCTTTTTAAAAAGAGCTCATTCCAAGGCTAAGAGAAAGTTGAGACTAAAACACCAGCAAAAAAAAAATTATGAAAATACACCAAAAGTACTTTCAATGCAAAGGAGAGCTCAATGACCAAGTCTAGCATAAAAGCATAAAAATTCATGAATATGCACAGTAAGTAAAAAATCCAATATATAAGATAAATTAAAATCCAAATCTTTTAAATGAATAAATTAGGAACACAGACATGTACCTTAGCACTGAATTTCAACTAATAAAAAGTGATGGTATTAGAAAATCACCTCAGTAAAAAACTGATTCAGTATCTTCAATACATGCTAAAGTCAGTGAGAAAAACTAAGATATTGGCCAGGAGTACAGCTCAACAAAGCTGGGCACCACCAGGTGATAACCCCCAAACCAAAAAGAAAGTATGACATGAAATAATACATAACCTACTATTTATTTCCTTACAAGATAATAGATGAAAAGAGGAAGATAATAACTTGAAATGGAGAAACAAGGCAGTCAAATCACACCTCAAACTGGTGAGAATTCACATCACAAATACTGGAACAAAGTGACTGCCTGTGACTCCTAATATATTCTAAGAAAACATCACTTCTGTGTCACAGACATGTGAAGACCTCTCAAAATTATAGGAGCCTAAGATTGTAATATGATAAAACAACAAATGAAGATAATGGATAATTGTAAGGTAAAGGTAAAGGTAAAGGCCCTCCCGTTGATCGTCGATTTGCTCGAGCGGGCCCAGTAACGTCTCCATTGGAGACTTTGTTGTTACTGTGTCTGGCATATCGAATACTCTCGGTAGCTTGCCGGGCTCTCCAAGAGGGGCGGAGGAATCGAACTCGGGTCGGCCATGTTGGCCGCTTGTAAGGCGAACGCCCTACCTGCTGTGCTATCGCTCCAGCCCCCAATGGATAATTGTAACAACATGGTTATTTAGTAGGACAGTTGGCAAAATATGAATGAGGCCTGATCAGACGAATATTTTAATTATTTTGATAATACTGTGGTTATATATAATGTCCTCCATACCTCCCAGGTGAAGAATACACAGAAATTACCCATACTGTTTTCTAGCCATTTTGTGAGTGAAATTACTTCAAATAGAAAAGATAGAAAATCCGAGTTCATACAAAACAAGAGATCCTATAGATCCTATATATACCACAGCCAAGGCATATACAATGACTAAAACTTGAGACACTTTACGACCATTGTCTTCTCAAACTTAACAAGCCTGTGAATCACCCAATTCACAGGTTTTGATTTACACCTGAACAGTACTTGGTACTTGAGCTGTGCATTTCTAATATGCTCCTACGTGATACATATTCACTAGAGAGGTCAGGTGATGGAGTATCTAGAAAAGGCAGATACTTTTTTTTTTTTTTTTTTTTTGCTTTTTGGGTCACACCCGGATATGCACAGGGGTTACTCCTGGCTCATGCACCCAGGAATTATTCCTGGCGGTACTCAGGGGACCATATGGGATGATGGGAATTGAACCCGGGTTGGCTGCGTGCAAGGCAAACACCCTACCCGCTGTGCTATCGCTCCAGCACCAAGGCAGCTGCTTTTAAGTTCTAACAAGTCACTGGGAAAATGAAGAACCAAAGTGACCAGATTGTCCACATTTTAAAGAGTAACTGAAAATCTAATTAAACACAATTTCCATTCTTTAAATGCTGACTGCTGAAAAGTGAGAACATTGTGAACAGTCTGGCAGAGAGAATCAACAATCTTCGAAGTGTTTTGCAACTAAACTTGATGTCTAAGATTCAGACTCCAACAATAAGTATAAGTTTACATATAAGTTCAACATGTTTCAATACAGAAAGAAGTAAATCTCTCTGAATTACATAGATGGCTGTTTATAAAGGGCCAGTAAGGATTCTAAGGATTCTAGAAGGAACAAGAGGATGTGGGATTCATGGATACTGGGAACAGATCAGAAAAACAACTTGGATAAAGTATACATTTTAAACATGTTAAGTGTGTTTAGGGAAAAAGCTAAAAGGTTTTCTTTTTTCTCTTTTTTGGGGGAGGTAGGAATCACAGTGGTGCTCAGGGCTTACTCTTGGCTCTCCACTCAGAGATCACTCCTGGTGAAACTCGGGGGAGAATTGGGGAGCATATGGAACTGTCAAGATTTGAACAAGGTTAGATACAAGCAAGGCAAGCACCTTATCCACTGTACGATCTCTCCAGCCCCCAAAGCCAAAGATGTATGAGTTTGAGGCTTCTTTTTAACCATTAAAAAAGAACAGTCTTGGGGCTGGAGAGATATTAAAGTGAGTAGGGCATTTGCCTTGCACATGGCCAACCAGGGTTCAATCCCGGCATTCCATATGGTCCCCAAACCTGCCAGGAGTGGTTTCGGAGTATAGAGTCAGGAATAACCTCTGAGCACCTTCAGGTGTGGCCCCAAAACAAAAAAGAAGAATCTTATGGTTATTACATGTTTTCTGAAATTCATTCAAGCCTTAAAATGAAAGCACCTGTTGCACAACCTAAATTATATGGATACAGTATGTTTTCACTTAATCTTCTGTATAGGTTCTTGGAAACTGATACGTGGGGAAAAAAACTAAAAAATTTATATCAAAGGAAGTCCTCAAGTAATTTGTTTCACTTAATATAGGCTGGATTTTTTTTTCTCATCAATGTTATGATGAAATGATAAATGGCCTCAATGTATGTGTGTTTTCAGATAAACACAGTAAGACTTAAAGCAAAACAATTTATATTAAAGCAGGTCCTCAAGTACTTTGTTTTCAGTCTGTAGCTAGATTTTTTTCCTCATCAATGTTATGATAAAATGATATATGACACGTGTTTTAAAATGAGCACAGTGCTTGGCACATGAGACCCTAAAAGTAGAGAGCAGTAACTAAAACTCAGCTAAGTTACCTACTCCAGAAAACCTTAGTAAGTACCCCATTTTTGTGTCCTTCAATTTTAAGTCTTTGTTATAATTGCATTTATAGACTAAAAGATCCTTGAAGTCAGAATACAAGTGAGATGGGATGAGTGGCATAATTATGGACAAGTAAGAGGGCTAGAGAAGATTGGACAATAATAGACACAGATTTATCTACATGCAAAGGAAAGCCACTGAAAAATTGGAAGAAAGGGATCAGCCAGAGTTTACAATATTTTGTTTTGGTACTGAATCCAGTTGTGCTCAGGGTCTACTCCAAGCAGTACTCTAGGATTCTGAGGTGCCTGGGATCAAATCCAAGCTTCAATAAGCAAAGAATGAGCACTACTAACTCTGAGCCACTTCCTGGCTGGGGACTTACAAGGGGATGGTGCTGGGTGCTCAAGGATCACTCCTTGTGATGTGCAGGGGACATTATGAAATGTGATGCTCAGAAGGAACCTTACCCCCTATACTATGACTTGGGTTCTGATTTGCATTTTGAGAGATCTAGTAGAAAACTGTTTTGCTTTCTTTAACTTAGATGGGGGAGATGAGTACAGGGAAACAAAGGAAGGTAAGGGGATAATGAGAATAAATTACTGCAGAAATCCAATTTAGAGTATTTCCTTAAATGAAGAATCAAAATGTACTTTTCTCCAATGTGAAACTGAAATGTGTTAAATATCCGTGGTTTGGAGTATAATAAAGTGTACATATATTTAGGACTATAAAAAGTAAACTTACTTTAGATACTTGGCATATTCTGGTTCTTTCCAGTAAAGCAAGTACTTAAGATAATTAACAAAAGCTTTGTCTTTGAAGTAACCTCTTTGGGCAAGAACTGAAAGGCATAAAAAAAAAATTGTAGAGCAAACCAATACTTAAACTATACATGTATCACCCCCACCACTAATGCCCATCAAATTCAAAATCAATTTAAATTTAAAAAATTCCCAATTTGATATCTATAAATAAATGTATACATACACACCGTCCTAAATGCAAGCAGTAATTCTATTAGGTATATATAATGCAATTTCTTTAAGAAATTCAACTAAATGAGGTGTTCGGCAACTTACAATTAAGATAATTTGGGTTAGCTAAACATTGCACAAATTCCAATTCCAATTGAAATCGAAGTCGATTTCCCGCATCATCTAGAAGAGAAAATAGCAAAAAATCATCCACAATAGAGATCATGAATCAATGTCGATTTGAAGAAAGGAAACGGTAAAGAAACTTAACTGAAATACATCTCTGAATATATGACACGATTTTTTTTCTACACTGGGTCTAGGAATTAAGAGATGATTAAAGTTTCTGTAAAGTTAAAATCTTCAAAGAAAAAATACACGTGGAGGAGGGTATTTACCACTTGTAGAAATTTTAACAAACCAAGTTAGTTTATGAAACGGCCTTTATTTCAGTCGTGCGCTGGAATAATTCAGCTACTAAGAAAAAGCTAAGTGAACGCAAATCAATCAGGTCAAGGCGTAGGATGCGCGCTGACTGAAGAACGCAAAATCGGAAACCTCCCTTTTTTTTGTGACAAAGCGATGTACAAGATTACGACGATATTTCAAACTCATGCAAGCTGGTCTGAGACAGAGCCCCAGTCGAAACAACTGTTGACTGTCCGCTCCCTCCGTTTCGCCCACGCCGGGAAAGCGACGGGATCGTTTTCTGAATAACCAGTGAGGAAAAACTACCGGCGAACAAACCGACAAGAAAAACCATCAACCATCACCTTTGCTGTCGCTAACAGAGTCCTCGACCCCGCGCTCCAAATTGTACCCTTGCCAGGAAACAGGCCTTGGAGGGCCGCCCCGGAGGAGAGCGACAGACTAAGTCCAGGGCAGTTTTGTTTGCGTGCGCTCGCGCTTACCTGTCTCCATAGCGACAGCCCCGGCCATCACAAGAGCAGGACCCCGGTAACCAGCGGCACGACCGAGGAAGCTCCCCAAGCGGCCGGGGAGGCTCCGGAAGCCGCGGCTGCCAGCTTCCGGCCGCAGGGCACTGTGGGCTGCGGGGGCGGGCACAGCCAGGTTCGCGCCGGCGGCTCCGCCCTTCCCGAGGCCGCCCGCTCGGGCCCCGCCCCTCTCGGAACCGCCCATTCCTGGCTCCGCCCAGCGCGGGGCCGCGCAGCCCCGGCTCCTCCCGCTCGGGCTCCTGGAAGGCCAGAGGGGCGGTGCCAGAGCTGAGGCGGCAGCAGACCGGCGGGCCCGGGATTTTCCAGGAATGACCCAGCTCGCGAAAGGACCGAAGCGCCTGACATTGGGGCATCCTGGCCGACTCAGCCGCCCTTGCGCCTGACTGACGTAAAACGCCTCTGTGACGTCACCACCTCCTTATGACGCCACCTGAGGCAATTCCAGCCGGGATGTTGGGTTGGGATCCTCTAGAAGCCTTGCTGGTCCCGTTACTCGTGTAGAATGGCCTCACCCCTCCGAGGAAAGCCCTCTTTGTCCCGGGTGGAGACCAGCCACCACAAAGAGACGTCGACGGTCCGCGTGGAGACGTCGTCCCGCCGCGTGGAGACGTCTTCCAGACAGGTGCGAATGTCTTCCCAGCAGGTGGAGACCTCCCAGCGCCTCAGTGAGGGGCCCTTCCTGACCCCCTCTGGGAAACGGGCCCCCCACGTCCTCGAGGTGTCCTCTGAGCACGTGGAGACCTCCTCGCAGCGCGCCGAGACTTCTTCCCGCCATGTCAGGGCCTCAACCCGGCAAGTGGAGACGTCTCTGCACCGCGCGGAGAGCCCCCTCCGGCGGGACATGCCCGCGGCTCGCCCGAATGTGAAAAAGCCCTGGTGAAAGTCCTCCCGAGGGCCCGAGGGGCCTTGAGTCCTGCGAGGGGAAAGAACTGCCACCAGTGTGCAACCAGCAGGTGGCCCAGTCTTGGGTTTCATGCAGACAGCTCAGAAATCAATGGAGGAAATAGTCAAACTGCGCTTTCCAGACCCATCCAGCTTTTATTGACTGCCCTGCATTTTGAGCACTTTGACCCAGTGAACGATTTCACGTGAAGCCGCACAAAAGTGTTCAGGATGATAAATTGGCTTGTTGGACGAACAGGCCGTTTGAACCACTGCACCAGGTGAGTTTGGGATTTAGAGTCCCTTTCAGCCCTTCGCTGCATCAAATTTAGGGGTAGGGTCCAAATCAAAATCATGACCAGTGAAGTGATTTTATTAGCCCGGCAAGCTACCGAGAGTATCTCGCCCGAACAGCAGGGCCTGGCAAGCTCCCCGTGACGTATTCGATATGCCAAACACAGTAACAACAAAGTCTCAAATGGAGACGTTACTGGGCCCGCTCGAGCAAATCCATGATCAACGGGAGGGCCTTTTACCTTTATATTTATATTTTATTTATAATGAGTTTATTATATATATATATATATATATATATATAAAACCTGAGGGGCAAAAGCCAGATTCACAATAATTAATTGGCTTTTTTGATTTTTGGAAGGTCACCACCGGTGATACTCAGCGGTTAGTCCTGGCTCTGTGCTTAGGAATCACTCCTGGAGGTATAGGAAGGACCATATGGGATGCTGGGGTTTGAATCTTGGTCGACTGTGTGCAAGGAAAACACCCTACCCACTGTTCTAGCACTCCAACCCCATCAAAAAAAGCGTTTACTTTGAATAAGCCTTTTTACCAAGACTTTGTGCCTAATGCCCCTCCCCACACACTTTTGAATAGAGAGTAGTTAAAAATGAAAAATTTAGGTAAACAACACTAATAATTCAGAATAGTTTTAGAAAGGGGTGTGTGTGTGTGTGTGTGTGTGTGTGTGGTGGGGGAAGGTCAAACCAGGCTGTGGTTAGGGCTCTGCACTCAGGGATCACTCTTGGCAGGCTCCAGGGACCATATGGGATGCCAGGGATTTAACCCCTGTCAGCTGCGTGGAAGGCAAGTGCCCTTCCTGCAGTACTATCACTTTGGCTCCTGAGGTGAGGTTTGAGGAGGCACAGATGGAATTTTTTTTTTTAATTTGCTGTTACATCTGGCAGTTCTCAGGGATTGTTCCTGGTTCGGTGGCTCAGGGATCACTCATGGTGGTACTTGAGAGAATTGTGTGTGGTGCTGAGGATTCAGACAGGGCAGCTGTGTCCAAAGCAAGCATTTTACCTTCTGTACTGTCTCTTATGTCCCAAAGACCATTTTAAGTACCTTCTCTGCCTGGCTCTTCTTCTAGAATTTAGACTATAGCCAAAATGAACAAGTGAACAAGCCAGAGTGGGTGATGATTATATTGGAGCTTATATTCCGTGAAGAGACAAATGACCAGACTAAACCATTTCCTACTATATTTCATTCTGTGAAATAGATAATGTGATAGAGAATGGCAGTAATGGAATAAAGAAGGATCTTTTTGGTTAGGGAATGCCTTGCTGATTAGGCAACATTTGAACTGAGATTTGGGTTGGTGAACAGTGGCCATACAAAGACACTGATTTTTGACAGGTGACTTGTATCCTAGGAGACACTGGGCAATGTCTGGAGGCTTACTTGTTAAAAGTTAAGCAAGTGCTGTTGGTTTCTAGTATGTAGAAACCAAAAACTGCAAAACAACCTATAGAGAACAAGACACACATACACCCTAGCCAACAAATTACTCAGTTCAAGATATCTATAGTGTGAAGTTAAGAAACTCAGGGGAGAGTAGAAGAACTAGTCAGGAGAAGATAAACGTGGTTCAGATTTATGTAACAGAATGGAATTAGAGAAAAGAGGAGACACTGAAGGATATGTTTTAGAAACAATAGCCAAAATATAACTATTGGATATGGAAGATAAGGAAAAGAAACAGAAGAATTAAAGATAGCTTCTAAGTTTTGGTGTAAGCGTTTTGGGGTGTGGTTGTGCCATTTACTGAGATTCTAGGGAAAGATCAGTTATAGAAGTTACAACCATGATAAGTTTGGGGCAGCTATACAAAACCCTAGTGGAGACATTGAGTGTAAGTTCAATGATAGGTGGACTAACCTTGAGAGAAGTGAGAATGCATTGAAAATAAAAAATGTGGGATAATCTAGTACATAGATGTTAAGTCATGGAACTAGGAAATCATCACCAGTCAGTCTGTCTTGCTAATCAAGGATGAATTTTTTGAGATCTTATTCCTTTGGGGATCACCAGTTGAATATTAATGTGACCTACCTAGTTTTCCTTTGTCCTTAATTTTTTGACAGTTACCAATAATGAAGGATGTTTGGACTAAATGTTAAAGGAATGCTTTAGAAAACTCAGTTTTCATAGACATCATAGAGTAGTTCTTAAAGTTCAGAAATTCAAACTTTTCTATCATTTTTTTCTTTTTCTTATATTTTTCCAAGTGGGAGGAGGGTTACATGGATTTTTGTGGATCTAATCTCAAGTATTTGTGGAATGTATGGCCACAGGCAAATTTGGTCCAGAGATCTAGCTCATTGTTAGAGTACTTTCCTTGCCATATGTGAGGTAAGGGCTTTATCCCTGGCACCAGATAAACCACAATTGTTCTATATACAATGGTTCTCAACTGGGGCAGTTTTATCCTGAAGGAGACGTGGGTAGTGTTTGGAGAATATTTTGTCACAATGAATGTATTGGACACTACTGGCATCCAATAGGTAAAAGTCAGGGATGCTGCCAACCCTCTTATAATATATAGCACAGCCTTCCATTATGAACTGAAATGAAAGTGTCATTCCACCCAAAGGTCACATCACTGAAGATTCCAGAAACCTAGAAAGCTAGAGCATGGTCTGTTGGGCTAAGAACGTTACTGTATAGTAGAAGTATGCTGAAAGGTATAAGATTGTTATTTCTGTCAGTCTCTGGAAAGGAGCTCTTAGAGGAAAGAGATATGTTCACTTTTTGAGGAAACTGTACAATCCTGTTTTCAATAATTTATTTGATATTTACCACAGGAAGAAAGTGGGCCTCATGTAGTAGGTTGGAAAGGATCTTGATTCTGTGGGGTTTCATTGTGAGAGGAACTATTGCCAGCACCAGGCTGAGTCATTGCTCACTTTACTTCATTTAATTAAAGGATAGTATATTGGACTGCTCAGAGAATAAGGTTCAAGCCAAGGGAATGTTACAAAACCCGGGAGGTTACCCTAATGCTCTGCCTCATTAAATTTGTCGTAAACTAATGATTAAATTTAGCAATTTTAATCTTTGATGAGCTTATTAATTCTTTTTTAATGATATGGACTGCATTATATATATATATAGCACAGCAGGTAGGGCGTTCGCCTTACACGCGGCCAACATGGCCGACCCGAGTTCGATTCCTCCGCCCCTCTCGGAGAGCCCGGCAAGCTACCGAGAGTATTCGATATGTCAGACACAGTAACAACAAAGTCTCCAATGGAGACGTTACTGGGCCCGCTCGAGCAAATCGACAATCAACGGGAGGGCCTTTACCTTTACCTTTTACTCTTTAAATGTTTTTTAAATTAACAAAGTTGTTTTTCTTTGACAGTGTTCCTATTTTTAAATAAAAATTGATGTGAGCTTTATATAGCAAATGAAATAATTCAAAGATGTGGAAAGAGAAAAATCAATTTTTTTTTCATGTGCACCCTCTGAAAAAAAATATCAGCAGCCCGATATTTGTCTTTGTAGACCTATATGTAGTGTAGTCTTTCAGACCACTCTATATTGAATATCCAGCATTAACTGCTTTCATCCCTTTCTTAGTGTGGTACCTGGACAACTGCTTAGAAGACTACTGTGAAAAAGGCACATACTGGGCTTCTGGATGACTGGTTCTCTTGGAGATACAGAATCCCGATGGTTTCTCTTGTTATTCTTGTTTCAAAGACAGGAGATTTGCCAGTTTTTCAAAGCTGAAATTCAAAGACATATATATATATACACACACAGAGCAAGAAAGAGTGAAAAAATAAAAAAGACAAACATGTTAAAAAAAAAGAATGTGATAGTGCCTTTGCCAGACATGCATTTTACACATCAGATTTAAAAGCTTTAAAATGGTTAGGTATGTCAAAGAACCTTTTTATCTGGCATGATTTGTAAACAGGGACTAGCTTCATATTATAAGCGTGTGCTCTACAGACTGCTCTGTCATCCTCCTCCCTCTCTTGCAAGTTCAGAAGAACCTGGACTCTGTTGTATCATGATGTGGTAAATATAATCAGTATTCTGATCCTATCTTGTATGCAGTGAAAAGCAGTGCTACCCCTCCGTTCCTTGCCATGAAAATCTTTTTTTTTTAAAGAATTTTTTTTTTTTTTAGGTTACACCCGGCGATGCACAGGGCTTACTCCTGGCTCTGCACTCAGGGGTCACTCCTGGCAGTGCTCAGGGGACCATATGGGATGCTGGGAATCGAACCCGGGTCGGCTGCGTGCAAGGCAAACACCCTACCCGCTGTGCTATCTCTCCAGCCCCGCCATGAAAATCTTTAATAGCTCCATCTGCTAATCCCTTGGATTGACTATGTGAGGTCGTAGCTATGACTTGTTTTCAGTTGTTGCCAACCAGATTAGTTTGAGTTTATTCAGTATACATCATTCTGAGGAAGAAGTTAGCATCTGCTGTTCTCCATTTAATCCAAAGAAGCTGAGAGCAGCTTATAAAATTCATCATGTAATGTTTGCTCTCAGTTTTGTTGAAAATACTTGAAAGGATGCTATTAATAAAAATACTCCTTCCCCAGATGCCACAGTTTGAGAAGAACCAAGTACTCAAATCAGTGAGATATTTGACTCAAGTCATCCTCTAGGTCACCCAAAATTCATGTTGCTCCTTTTTTGTTTTCCTCCCATCCTATTGTGGCTAGCACAAATCTCCAGGTCCAGGACACTTAACCTGGTTTTCTTCAGATTTCATTTGTGCTATTATATGAAGTCCAAACACTTATTCTGGAGGATGTGTTCACTGTTTAAAACTTTATTTTAAAAAATGATGTTCAGGTGGAAAAACTGGAACCCATAGAAGTCAAAAGTAACTTTCCAGAAGCACTGAGTATAGGGAACACTTTTCACTGTTTCCCAGGATGTTTTCATATGATAAACAAATAAAGGTAGGTATTATGTCCTTGAACTAATTTAAAATGAGCATAGT